TCGTCTGAGGAACTATTCAAAGCAGTACAATAAGTGCCATATGTTGTTTTAAACAATAATTCATTTATAATAACTCAATTATCATCTGACGTGGAATTGAATTATTGCTTATGTTTACGATTATGGTAAAAAACGAGCTTGCTCGCCGTTTCTTTTAAAGAATGAGATCAGCGACGATTGCCAAAGCGAACTATTATAAAACTCGGTATAATTATTATACAGTCAAGTCGTCCAATTATGTAAAAAAATTGTCCGTAATAAAACTTTTCTGAACTTGATACAAAATATATTAGTTAGTTTTAGATTTGATGAAGTGGTACTAAGTATGAGATACACGAATGTTTCTACGTTCGAATTTGTTATTAGGCACGTCTTTTTGAGGTCCAAAGTCTTTATATTTTCCATAAACAACTTGTGTATGATCGGTCAAATTGATTCTATATTTTGTAATTTTTTTCACACATTTACTTGTCTAACCACTGTGATTTTCAAGCACCGTCTTTTGGTGTATGAGCAAAGTCGATTTCAATTCCAATTTCTTCTCGCATTTATTGCATCCAATCTCTCTGCGAACCTCGTGTACTAACTTTATGTGGGTTAGAAAATTTGATTTCTTCCAAATTTTCTCTCGCACTTGTCTCACGTTCGATCTTTACAACCTTCATGTACCGTCCTTTGGTGCCGAAACAAATTTCTTTTTAGTCCAAAATTCTTCTCGCAATTATCGCATTCGTAATCTTTCCGACCCTCGTGGACTGTCTTTTGATGCTCAAGCAAATGATGTTTATGTCCAAATTTTTTTTCACACTTGTTGCATGCGTGATCTTTACAATCTTCGTGTACTGTCTTTTGGTGTTTGATTAAATTGCCTCGTTCCCCAAATTTCTTCTCACACTTGTCGCATGGATAATCTTTGCGACCTTCGTGGACTGCCTTTTGGTGTTTGATTAAATTGCCTCGTTGCCAAAATTTCCTCTCGCACTTGTCGCATGCGTAATCTTTACGTCCTTCGTGAACCAGTTTTTGGTGTACAAGCAAGTTCTGTTTCGTTCCCAATTTCCTTTCACACTTGTCGCAATCATAATCTTTGCGACCTTCATGGTCTGTTTTTTGGTGGGCAAGCAAAGAATGTTTATATCTAAATTTCTTCTCGCAATTGTTGCATGCGTAATATTTCCGGCCTTCGTGGATCATCCTTTGGTGGCGGAGTAAAGTCGATTTGTATGCATATTTATTTTCGCACTTGTCGCAAGCATAATCTTTGCGACCTTCGTGTATCGTCTTTTGATGGTACAGTAAACTCAGTTTATATCCAAATTTCTTTTCGCATTTATCGCAAGCGTAGTCCTTGCGATTTTCGTGGACCGCCCTTTGGTGGTTTAACAAATCTGCTTTAATTCCAAATTTTTTTTCGCAATTTTTGCAAGCAAAATCTTTCCGACCTTCGTGTACTATTTTTCGGTGCTTCAATAAATCTGATTTTTGTCCAAACGTCTTCTTGCACACGTTGCACGCGTAATCTTTGCTACCTTCGTGTATTGTCTGTTGGTGAAAATAGAAACTAGTTTTGTGTCCAAATTTCTTCTCGCATTTATCACATGTGTAATCTTTTCGACCTTCGTGGATTACCTTTTGGTGTTTTCTCAAATTGCTTTTATCCCCAAATTTCTTCTCGCATAGGTCACATGCGTAATCTTTGCGACTTTCGTGGATTAGTTTTTGATGTATGAGCAAATTCCATTTTCTTTCATATTTTTTCTCGCACTTGTCACACGCGTAATCTCTACGACCTTTATGTAATAATCTTTGGTGCAAAAGCAAATTTGACTTTTGCCCAAATTTCCTTTCGCTATTATCGCATCCGAAATCTTTCCGACCCTCGTGTAATGTCTTTATGTGCAAGAGCAAACTGGGTTTAGTATCAAATCTCTTTGCGCACAGTTCACATAAATAATTTTTGAAAACTTCGTGAAATATTTTGTTGTGCTTGAGTAAAGTTAATTTATTTTCAAATTTCCTCTCGCACTTGTTGCATGTGAAATTTTCCCGATCCTTGTGTACTAATTTTTGGTGTGTAAATAAACTCGATTGTTTCACAAATTTCTTCTCGCACTGGTCGCATGCAAAATCTTTGTGGACTCTGTGTTCTGATATTAAGTGTCTACTTAAATGACTTCGAAACTCGAATTTCTTTTCGCACTTGTCGCATGTGTAATTATTCTGATCATGGGGAGTTGTACCTCGGTGTGCTATCATACTTGATTCTAGTGTAAATGCCTCCTGACAAATATCAGAAAGGTATTTTTTGTCGTCTGATACAACTATGACGTGTTCACTTGAATTATTTTCTGAAACAACTTCTTCGGATTTATTATCACTTATATCCATTTTTGTGCGTAAATAATACGATAGATTCTTCAATTTACAGAAGAGTAATGAGTATAATTTACTTTCTTGAATTAAATCTTGTTTCGTCGGGAAAGACAACATTCAAACTAATTTGTTTTTACTCTAATATGATCAGTGTTTGAGAGACGATGTGAGTATCGTTTATAATCATATTGTTTACGATTAAGGGAGCAATTTATCTGTTTAATCATTACAACATTTGAAACAATTAGAAATTCCAACTTGTAAACGATTCTTCGAGGAATTTTCTTGACTTCACAAAACTAAGTATTTCACAAAAAATCCTAGTAATATCGATTACATTTAACCTTATTCAATTCGCACTTCATAATCTGCGACGGAGCTTGCACTCAATCGAATTAATATCCATCTAGAATAGCATAATAGAGCCTGTTTAGAGCTTTTTTAGCTCTTTCAGTTCTTTCATTCAGATAATTCATTGTATTTTTTATTACATTTTTTTTCACTGTCATTATGGTTTTGCCATTTTTGGAGCTTTTTAAGCTCTCACAGGTCTTATATTATTATTAGAATTTATTTACTGTCCTTATGGTGTTGGCTAGTAGTCGTCAAGCAGATATTGCATAAATCTTCGTTCATTAGATCTTTCGTATGGTACCCGCCTCCCTGTGCCTTTTGGTAAGCTCCCAAAATTCATTCGAGCACGCGCAAACTTGAAGTAGTTCCCCGTACGCGAGTATAGTTACGCCGCTCGTTCCGGTCGTACAGCTACAAGTCCGATTTGGAATTAAAAAAAAAGTTTATTAAAAGAAATTACTTTCCATTAATTGAATCAAATTTTTTTCTATTTTAAGCCCTCATTGAGCTCTTTAACTCCTCGATACCCAACGCGCTTAAGAGAAGTTTGTTTCCAAAAACTGCGCAGAGAGAGAGAGAGAGAGACAAAGTCGTCGAGGCCCTCACACGTATGATGCGCACTTGGGCCGGCACATTTTATATATAAACATAATGCGTTAGCGCTCTTGTGTGCATCGCCGCCAGCGTCGCTCGTGCTCTTCTGGCTGTGTACGGCCAATTCTCGTCCGGTATGCTAATCGAGTTGCGCGCGACGTAACGCAGCGCACAAGCTCGAGTCGAGTTGAGCCGTGTACGTAATTTGCAAAATAAAAAAAAAAAAAAAATAAAAGATGAAAAATAAAATGCGTCATCGTTGCCGGCCCGCATACACACATTTAGGTATACATCGGCGGGAGCGTCTTTTGTCGCGTTAAAATAAATTTCGAAAGCTGATGGCCGCGTTTCTACGACTTCGTAATGTATATATAGGATGCGAGCTTTATCTTCGATACAGCGAAGCACACACTTACAAATCGAGAGAAGAAGAAAAAGTGCATTGGCAAGCAAAAGTAGCCGAGTGTATACGACACTTAACCCAGTAATGTGTTGTTCAGGTATCGAAAAGTGTGTTGTAGTACGAGGGAGAGAGAGAGAGAGAGAGAGAGAACCCATTTCCAGACTTGCGCACACATCGTATTACGTTATGTTACACGTATATAGGTACACTGGGTATAGGGGGTACACCTGCAGCTGGAAAGAGTCGGTGAGGCGTGCGATACAACACACACATATATATATGATGTAAGGGCAAAGTACTGACCGCGTAATACTCAAACTCGTATTATACGTGTGTGTATGCACGCTAGACTCGTGCCCACGGCCTGAGTGAGAGACACACACACACACACAGACAGAGTTTAAGCGAGCGCAAGAGAGAGAAAGCTTGATAATCAATAGCTCGGGTTGTGTGCACTCGGAGTGCCGGAGTAGCAGCAGCAGCAGCTGCAGTAGTAGTAGTAGTGTGTCTGTCCTCTCGTAGGTAGGTAGGTATATAAGGTACACTGCTACTCTCTCTGTCTATAGAGGTGCGGATAAGAGAGAGAAGAGCAGAGCAGAAAAGACAGAATCCCGCAAAGTATGCAAAGAGCGTGGCGCTGCGAATCCCTTTTCCGATGTATATAAAAATTTTGTATTCTCTCAGTCAGTCATATACACCCACACACTAATGGTCCTTGCGTATATACATATCCGCAGCTGCCGAGACGCGGTCGAGAAGGTAGAAAAATTGATGGACAGATGTGTGCTAATGCCTCGTTATCGATTGTCTTTTGGCTTGTAATGAAGGAAAGCCGCGGAGCCAACGTACTAACCCATACAGTAGTATATAATAATAACGCCGAGACACACACGTTATGTATTCGTGCGAGTATGTATATAACGTGGTTTTTTTTTAATAATTCATCGTCGTTATACCAACACACATGTGCACATAAACACCATGCGTATAAAAAAAAGCAAGTGTCATCGCACGGGGGCAGATGTGTACCTGTGTATACGATATAACACACGACTCGTTGTTTATAAAGTTTCGCGCGCCGACCACGAAAACACCAACGGCGACACTCGTTGCAGCACGCGTAATAAAATATAAATTTGCGTTTAAAGGCACAAACTCGCGTGCACACTATATATACGAGCCTATTACGAAACAGCAGCAGCAGCAGCAGCATCCACTGTATATGCTCTCAAAACGATCGAGCGTATTACATATATGATACAATGGTCAATTTTACCTTGTGTTATCGTGTACGCAGGAGGCGTGCGCGCGTGCAGAAAACTCGGGAGTAGCACAGGCTCTGCTGCGGGCTTCTCGTATTTTGTTTTTTGTTGTTATTTTTTTTTCATTCTTCTTGTGCCGAGTCGACGAGTTTGAAAATTCGTGCGTTGTATATCGTATACGTCGACGAGAGAGAGCTGACACTGTCGCACACGGAGGTAGGGGCTCTCTCACTCGTGCGTTAACAACACATCTTATACATAATTTACGATGTATGCACGCGGCACAGGTGTTGCAGCTCCTTGTTAAATATATGGTACACGAGTATATATATAATATGCACACTCACGCGCGCACCGCGTATATATAATATATACGAATCGAGACGAGAGGAGTAGGAGGACGACGATTCGGTCTGGTGTATCTGGCGAATATAGATATCACCGCGCGCACTGCAGCACTCGGCGATCCGCAGACGCACTTCTCTCTTCTATATACTAGGTAACTCTCCGCGAGATAGATCTGTTATATATACGTATATAAATTTGTTGGTTCTTCTCGCTCGCTCGCTCTCTCGTGTGTCTCGGAGTGTGTATACGAGAGAAGATCTTCGGTGGGCACCTATATATGCACTAACTATGTGTATTATGAACTCGCGTGTCCGCCGTCGCTGCTACTGCAATTTGGACCAGCGCGAGACGATCGCGCAGCGGAATGTGCAGCACATGCGACGGCGACGACGAGCAGCAGCAGAGACTGGAGAGAGAGAGTAACACCGACAGTTATGCATATATATTTTCTCAAAGATGTCAAAGCAGTAGCAACGCTCAGCGTGACTGCCTGTATATATGTTTATTATTATATATTTTATATATTGTCGCAGGATCGTACACTCGGAGCACCCGGGTCCAAACTTTATATATTTTTGTAATTATCGCACTCGCGAGTCGCGGCTGCCAGAGCAGTACTATAATGCACACGTGCGACGCGACGTCGATATCGATGGTCCAACGTGCGGCGCGACGTCCCGAGGAAGACTGGCACACACACACGACGCGCGAGACTGGTCTAGCTGCGCTGCCGAGAGAGCGCGAGAAACGAGAGCCGTATATATACACACGCACGCTATATACACATGCAGCTGCTGCTGCTGCTACTGCTGCTACTCCCGCGGAGTGTGGCTGCAAATATATAGATGTACCGAGCCGTGTGTGTGTGTGTGTGCGAACTGCGAGAGGAGCCCCACACCACACTATATGATATACGTTCAGCAGACGCACCTATACACCTATACTTGCACGCGGCTGATGTATATAATATAAGTGGCGCTGCGATGAAACATCCTTTGCAAATTTTAATACCAAAAAAGAAACATATGCGAATCTACTCCGAAATGCTGTACACGCAATGTTCGTCGTGTATGGCGATGTCGGAGTACGACGTACGTCGGTGTAACAATCTTCCAAAATTCGTTTTGTGCTTTGACGAGATTTATCGCGATCGAAATTTTCGTATCCGGAGCTTCTCGATTCCATCCACAGATGGAGCGTTGTAAATTCGCAAGTGGCGAAAAATTTTTCAATTAGCATAAATACGTGGGTCTGTACCAATTGAGCAAAAGTGTCTTTCCGTTACGTTTATTAGTTCACCCCATTATTAATCTCCCTTCATGATTTAATGCATAGATACATCTTTCACACATCCAAGTATTTGCAGTTCATAATTTAATATGATAGGTTTAATTTTTACCTTAGTTTTTATAATTTTCCTCACATCGGGGAACTGTCACAAATACAGTAATAACAAGTATATCATAATCAATTACAAATAGTAATCTCCTGATTTTGCAATTCCGTCAAATTTCAAATGATTGTAGTTTGAATGTAGTCTTGCCAAAGATGTTTACGGTTATTTTTAATTCTAAAAAAATGTTGACTCAGACCTATCCGAACCAGAGCTGTCAGCTGGTCTGGTGGGTGCTTTTGACAAGACTTAGACAATGTTATTTTTATACTCAAAAAACACCAAGAAAATTGAAAATTGAAAAACTGAAAAATCAAATATTGGCGCATGCGTTCGGCGGAATAAAACGTCAAAAGCAGCTGATGTCAGTCTGCTCCGCGCTCCGCTTGTGTGTGTCAGTGTATGCGTGCGTCAATGCGCGCGCTACCATAACCTTTTATGCTCGACTCCAGCCGTTGTTGAAAATTCGCATTTCGCGAGCATATACATTTATTCCGCAGCTGCACACTCACACGCACACTTATCTTTGGAAAAAGCTGCGTCGACTGTCAGTTTCGTTGCCGTGTCGGGTGCGTGGGGGGATGCGCGCGCGGACTGTCTCCCGCGCGACGATTCGTCGTCGTCGGGTGCTGCAGCAGCAGCAGCAGCAGCAGCAAGCAAAATACATTGGTACGAAAACATAACAACGCGCAGCAGCAGCAGCAGCTTTAGGACAGGTACCTATATATACGTGCATATAGGTGTACAATAAAAATCGCGGAGCCTCGCAGTGGAAACGTGACTGCTGCGGATCGATGATCAGTGCGCGCGGCCGAGAGCCAATGTAAATTAAAACGAGAGCTCCTCTGCCCCGGCCGTACAGACGTGACTGTGTGTGAGTGCGTGCAGAGATCGTGTGGACATGTCGTTACGAAAGGAGCAGACAGTGCAGTTGGTGCGTTTCGAGAAGGATGACATGATCGGCGCGTACTGAGCAACGAACGGCAACTGTATTCAATACCCAGTACCTATCCAAGTACTTATATACCCCACTCACACACTCATACACGCGCACGAGTAAAAGTCCGAGCTGTCTGTGAAGCGACTTGTTATTTAGTTCGATCTCAACATGGCCGTCGTAAGCGATATACAGTGTCGTTTTCCAGCTTCGGCGCCTGTTACATTATCAAACGGAGATCGATACTCTCCGTCTCGAGGCATCAGCGCTCTCGTAACGCTCTCTAAATAAAACCTGTCAGCAGGTGTTTAATCGGACCGGTGCTGCTGCTGCTATCTGCCACTGCTACTGTCACTCGCTACGGCTATACCGATGCTGATTGCTGATGCTGCTTCTGCTTCGGCTGCTACTGCTGCTGTTGTTTTTCCACGACGAGCTGTCATAACGTGAACAACGACACTGTGTGCTGTCGTCGTCGTCGTCGCCGCTGTTTTTACTAGCTAAAAGCAACGGAACTCGCGCGACGGATTGTTCAGCGATGTTGAATCGTAACTGGAAGTGGAAGAGCAATCCAACAATTGCGAAGCGTCGCAATGATCATCGTAATTCCTCGCAAATAAGCTTCTGCTTATAGTTTATTTTATTTTTGTTATCATGTCGTGAAAGCCTATTGACATCGCAGGAAATCTTTAACTAGGTGTAGAGATTAGCATGGGATTGTTTGACATTGCTTTCCTGGCGCTTGCTGCATTTTCTTGTGGAGTAATATGTACCCTCATTGTGCAATTCATATTGTTCAAAAAGTACCTGGAGTCGGGTACGCAGGCCACACCGCCAAAGTTTCCTATTCCCCCCAGCCAACCAGTACTACCAGAGGAACTGATAAATCAGATCAAAGATGCCAAGGCTGCCAGCGTCTGTGGAGGATCACCTAGGCAGAGCTTATCGCAAGGCAGTGAAAATTTAGCTATTAACCTAGCTCTTCAGTTTCTTTTTAACGAATTGAGAAATGCAGAACGAGTACGTCTGTGGTTGTACAGAAAGCTTAACAATGAATTCAAAGAATTGGTCAATCAATCTACAACGGGGAAATTGTTTGATAGTGTACAGGTATGTTTCTATATTTCAAATATTTATTTTAAACAGGCTTCAATTAAACATTTTACAAATTATTCAAACATTTTGCTTGCAGTTGCGGGACTTGAATCTAGGTAATCAATTTCCTGTCATAAAAGGCTTGGAGGTATGCGAAGCCAAAGTATGCCCAGACACTGGATTGCTAGAAACGCTGGATCTCTGCTTAGATTTACATTATTCAGGAAACTTCCAAATGTCAATAGATGTTAAAATGTTATTGAGCAAAACTGCATATTTATCTTTACAATGTAAGTTATTAAGTTCATGGAAGCATTCATATTGATTTAAACATTTACTAAGTAATGACATTGATTTACAGTAAAACGAGTTACTGGAAAAGCCAGACTACAATTCACACGAGTACCCTACACACACTGGTCTCTGAGTTTTTATACAGATCCAATTTTAGAATTAGATGTACAGTCGCAGTTCCAGGGTCGTCAATTACAGCCACAGATAATATCACTGATTACGGGCCAAATACGCAGAGCCGTCAGAAGAAAACACACGTTACCTCGTTACAAAGTGCGCTACAAGCCGTTCTTCCGCCGACTCAACGACGAAGACATCGATCTGTCCGAGGTAACATTTTTGGATATTTCTTTCTCCGCGTTTCGCACCCGACACAAGATAGCTTAACGTATGTTTTCGCGTCGTTTCAGTTTTCATCTCTGTCCTGCTCGGGTCAGCTCGACGTTACGTTGCTGGAAGTGAGCCGCCTGAACATCGATTCGAGCTGGATCGACCCGGAGAATCTGTCTCAAATTGAGATACACTGCACGCTGAGCGTCGACGCCACGCCCTGGGTCTGCTTGACGCAGTACGGCGGCATACCCTACATGGTGCTGGATCTGATAATCAGCAAGGTCAGCTCGCAACAGTTGGGCGTCGTTTTCAAGCAGGAGCAGGTGGCCGAAATCGGCCAGAATTGCGTCCTCGTGGAGACCATCGTCAACGGCAGTCCGGCGGCGATCGCGGAAATGAAGAAGGGCGACGTCGTGGTGGCGGTGAACGGCAAAAGAGTCCTCAACATGAATCAGATCGGCAAGCTGATAAAGAGCGCGGCTCAGCGCAGATTCATCATCAGGGTCGAGAGGAGGTACACCAGCGCCGATTGGGAAAGGAGCAGTTTGTGCAGAGCCGCCGAGCAGGAGAGGAAAAAAGTGAGCGCCAAAACCGAGACCGGCACCGGTACCACTCTCAATGTCGAGGACAAAAACACTACCATAAAATTCTCCGACCTGAAGGACATGGACGCGGCCGAGATAGCTACGGAGAAGGCTACATTGGCAGCCGACGCCGGTAACAAACTCTTCAAGCGTCGCAAGAGCAGTGCCGCGACCCACGAAGAAAGCACGACAGCAGTGACGGCTGCAGCGGCGACATCACCAGCAGCACCAGCAGCTGCGAGCCACCAAGGCCACGAGAGGCGAACGTCGAACACGTCGTCGAGCTCCTCGTCGACCAACGCCAGCGGCAGCCAGTGCACGATCGCGGCCAGCACCGTCGTCGAGCCCCCCGCCCCGGCCTTCAGCCTGAACGATCTCTACTACAAGACGAAGGAGATGAGCTGCGCGTCGTTGGTGAAATTCGACGAGACGCGAACGTTCCTCGTCGATTCCGAGCAGCAGTATTTGAACATCGGCGTTTGGGGCCGGCAGAGAGGCGCGCCAGAAGGTCAGCAGCGACTGTTGGGCTACATAAACGCGCCCATGAAGTTGATCATCACCCAGTGCTCCAGCTCCACCACTGGACACTACCTCAAGTGGCTGTCTTTACTACCTCCGGATTCCGGTAAGTTCAACGAGAGTAAAATTCGACGATTACGGTAATTAATGTCGATGCTGTTTTTTTCGTTTCATCAGCATCGCCGGCTCTATCGACGTTCAAACTGCACGGCTACTCGGGATTCGATCCGTCGTTGTGCTTCGGCGACATTCTACTCTCGTACGTTTGGACGCCCAACAGACCGGCTCAGAACGTCGTCGATTTCGCCGGCAAAAAAGCCACCGAGGAGGTCGTCAAGTTGCACCAGCCCATCTTGGCCGAGGACGCGAGCAAGCAGAAGCCCCACGACTTCATTCGCACGCACTTTCATCGCGCGACGCACTGCGATTTCTGCACAAAAAAGGTAGGCTTGGGCTCGCCATCTCCCAATCTAAATCCAACAGTTTTTTTTCAATCGCTCGTATCTCATTTTTACCCTCAGATCTGGCTAAAAGACGCGGTGCAGTGTCGCGACTGCGGCATGGTGTGTCACAAAAAGTGCGAGGCGCGCTGCCAGGCCGCGAGCTCGTGCGGCGCCGAGGCCATCGCCCAGATAGCCTTCGAGGCCGACGAGTGCGGCAGCGAGCCGAGCATATCCAGCGAGTCCGGCCCCGAGATCTCGCTCACCGGCTGCGAAGAGCAAGTTCAGGTACTGGGCACTTACTAAGACAAAAATCGGTCAAATCGATACCTTAACGATAAGTGAGAGAGAGAAAAAAACAAAACGAAAGTCCATGTGAACTGGAAAAGTAGAAGATATTTTTTTAAACACTCGGTTTTTCCTAGCGTAGCTGTTACGTGTATACCTATTTTAATGACAATTGAAAATACGTGTCGTGTATTTTTGTATACGTTATACCAAAGTTTGTCAAGATAAAAAAACACTGTTGATATAATTCTAGTCAGTTTTCGACGTTCGCCATGACGAATGCCAAAATAAAAAAATAAAAAATAAGAAAAAAACAAGAAAATCAACGCGTGGAATCAAAAGACGACATAACTAATCGTTATGCAGAAGTTTTATGTACGATAGTATTATTTGTATTATTTTCTAGTCGATGAATCGAATCTCGTGGCTGTGTGTACCTCTTTGTACAATCAAAACATGTTATCTGATTTAAGTTGCTTTTTTGTTGCCTATGTTTTTGGTTCGATTGGTGATAATAGCGTTGGTACACATTATAATTATAAAACTAAGTCGGATGAATCTGCTACTATTGGATTCCTGTAAATATAATATCCGTAAACAATAACATATGACTATATACAAATGTACTTATCTTTATATACAGAATTTATTAGCAATAGAGTAATTTGTTAACCAAAAGCATGCAATTGTCTTTTCACCACCACTTATACTAATGGTAAGCGAGAGGGTGTTTGTTGCACAATGAAACAGCAAAACGGCGACGAGCTCGAAGATTAAAAACAAGCCAGGTTTTGGGTATCAATAACGATGCAATTGTCTCGAATCCTTCTCCTCGATAATTTACCCACGTATCGCACGTTGCATAACGATAATAATTAGCTTTGATCCGAGCGTCCAAGCATCAAAGAAAAAGCAAAAGCGAACGAAAAACAGAGAGAAAATCAAAAAAAAATGTACAATGCAATATGACGCGCCTGCAGGGAATGAGCACGAGCAGCATGACGAACGTGCGCGCCAGCCTCGCCAGTACCCTGCTGGGCCTGAAGAAGGCCGGCAGCACGAGCAGTCTGACGGTTCCGGCCTCGCCGCAGCATCAGATCCAGCAGCAGCAGCACCAGCAACACCAGCAGATCGGCCAGCAGACGCAGCAGCAGCATTTGCTGGCTAACACGAGAAGTCTGCCGCCAAGTCCGAGCGCTTCACGCAAGGTACTCGGACTAAAAAATGATACGATGATGCCTGACACTGCTGCTACTACTTCTTCTTCTACTACTACTACTACTACTACTAGTTCTACTACTACTATTACTACTTCTAAGCTTGTCTGGATGAGGAAGCTGCCAAGATCGTGATAGATTGCGCGCGCATATTTTTGTACAACTCTTTATTTTCAAGGGGAGACTAGGATCCAATTTTTCAATTGTATAAAGCTCTGAAGGGAAATCGTTGAATCGCGTACACGTTGTTTGTGCGGCGTGTAAGTTTCCAGCGACCTTCGATTCGTAATAAGCTCGTGTTTATGCTCACACAGCCCATCGGTAATTTAATAATCGATACATCTTTTTTTTTTATATATCGCATGCCAACGAATCGAGAAACGATCGATACTCTGGAATGCGGCTCTAGAGTCAAATTTAATGTTCAAGAGCATGCAGAATAATGCGAAAATAAGAGCAATCGATAGTGTGCATGAGGGTTGCAATTTTTTTCTCATGCTCGTAAGCATTTTTTAAATCATTAGATAATATATCGGTTGAATCGCGTGGAACGAAGCCTCCTCTTGAGAAAACGTTAACATCGAAGATGAAAATCGAAAAAAAAAAATTACATTACATTTAAATTACATTATATCTTGGTGGTCACTCAATCTCAGTCAATTAAGTTGAATGCCTTACTACTTGAAGAGATTAATTTTTTAGAGATTTATTTTTGATTATTCATTTATTTATTTCTTTATTTTCGTAGTTTTCAGTATTCAATTTTTTGGAAACATCCTGAAATTATTTACTCGGTTACAGCTGCTTCTGATACATGTTCCGCAAATAGCATAATCAAGGCTTTTAAAATATATTTTTTGATTAAAATTTATCGACTTTTCTTTTTCTGCGCTCCACTCTCCTCGATACGGATCCACGATGAACCTCAACTCAAATGATTTTTTAATTTAATGCAACAGATCAATTTGATATTATTTCTAGAATATAAGTGTTTATTATTTTTGCATCCACACAGGAGGATTGATTTATCATGTACTTACTTTTTGTCAGTATTGCTTTCGTTAATTTTGAACAATTTATTTTTCAGGCTCTTAAATACTTATAGACATAGCGAATTATTTATTTTTAGCCGAAAAGTAAGCCGAGAATGAAAATGATTACTAGCGCTTTTACACCGTAGAGCAGTTCTTTTCTTGCTTTCTCTGTCCGCTTCTATCTGTACTCTGCACAATACTAACATTTTTTCAACAAAAAAAAAAAAAAAAAAAAAAAAAAAAAAAAAAAAANTTTAAAAAAAAAAAAAAAAAAAAAAAGAAAAGAAAATAAAATGTAAACTAACAATTGTGCGCACTTTGTTTGTGATATAACGCCACAGCGTAGCACCACATTTTCACTGGCACCGTCGTCGTTGCTAACATCCTCGACTAATTCGTCGTCGACGCCATTACTATCATCGTCATTAATCACCAACGCACGAGTTTATTACACGTCGAAAATATATCGCCGTCAAATTACCATCAACATCGACAAATCCGTTGTCTCGTTCAAATAGATACATTCTCTTCCTTGCCCCCGTACTCGTAAGCATTTATTTCTTCATTTTTTTTTGTTCTTTATCTCCGTAATTGGCACGAAACCCAACGATAGCTTATAGCACATGTATAGCTGAGAAAACCACAAAGAAAAAGAAAAAAAAAACAAAGAGCAATGCATGAACCGTAGAAGAGTTTTTTGATTGACGAAACCCCAAATCAAAAAAGCAAAAAAAAAAGCAAAAAAAAATTAAGCCAAACTTTGACTCACCCCGCGATGAACACGCGGTGTCTGATGAATGTACCTCACAGAGCTCACTCATCGGCGGCAGTCTGGGAATTAATCCAGACCTACTGGAGGGCGCGGATCCGAGCGTCTCGGCGCCCCTCATCGCCGGCAATCTCGACGACTGCCTCATGACCAAGGCCAAGGACAGCGGCAAGTCCCTGTACAAGCACCTCGAGCCGCGCCAACGCATCGACAAGATCAACGACATGGTAACTTTGCGGCGATGCTTTTGGAAGAAAAGAAAACGTCTTCCTCGCTTCGACGAGTTATAAAAATAACGTTTCTCTGCTTCTCTTTCTCCAGATAACGAAGCTGAAAGTGTCGCTCGACGCCGAGACGACGACGCGTCATCGGCTTTACGACAATTACGACCTCGACAGCGAGAAGAGGGTGTCGCAGATCGATCTGCGAATCCAAGCTCTCAGCGTGCTACTGCTGCACTACTGCACCGGGCTGCAGCACGCTCAGGAACAGCTGGAACGGCCTATTTAGAGAGAGAAATTTAACGATAAATTATATATAAGTTAAAAAGTTGTAACGCAACGAGTCAATTTTGCGGTGACGCGATCGCGCTCGCCCTGATAATACGTATCGCGAGATGCAATGTGAATCGTCGAAGATGTATGAGGAATGTTCAAAACGAGCCTTTTTTTGCTAATGTGTTATAAGAAAAGTACGACTATTTTTCGAATGCATTCCAGAGTGAAATATTTGCTTCCAGTGATAGATATTATAATGAATGTTTTTTTCTTTCGCAAAGTTTAAGCTTCGAGATTTATAATAGTATAAAGTTTCGCACGAAAAAAAAAAGTTAATTAATTAACGCAATTACGAGCACAAACGATGGATAACACTAGTAGTGACATTCGATGTCTAAGAACACCAACAAATATAAGACTTTTATTCTGCAGTAGACTTTTTGACACACCGCATCGCGTTATATAACAATGTCCAATGATATTATAGATAGCTTATGCTGCTAAGTAGGCTTAAATAAATGAGATGTACGTAAACTTCGAAAGCATTCCGGGAAAAACGGCGCGAATTTTCATTGCCGCTTGTTTGCAAAAAAAAAGAAAGAAAGAAAGAAACCCGCGCAACCTCGTTAAAGAATATTTTATTTTTTATTACAGCGAAATATTTTTTGAAAAATGAATGAGTATTTTTTTAATCCACCGTTAGTTTGTGTCGGGACATTTGTAAGTGGGTCGACGAATCCACCTTATCCAGTGATTTTTTCTATGAATCGCATAATTTTTATAAAAACTTATACCTATACAAAAACGAACTTAAAGTTTTTTCAAACGAAATATCTTAAGTGCTGAATTAGACAATCTTAAGATGTGTGCTACGTTAAAGACAAATATTTTTGCTTCTATTGCGAATGGCGATAAAAAAAAAAATTAAATAATTATATCGACTGCAAACTGACTACATTTTGCATGCTGATCAGTTTTCAACGAAACAAAAAAATCGACTGATAAATTAATGTCAATGAAAAAAAACAAAAAGATTCAACGATTTTTGAGACTTTAGTGTCGTAGTTAATTGTTACTCAACATTAATATATATGATATATCAAATAAATGTGTGTCACAAGAGATGTCAAATTATTAGAGAGTGAATAATAGCGAATTCAAGGAAAAATATAGTATATATCTATAATAACGAAAAATTATGCAGAAAATTAAAATAGTGCAGTGTATTTTTGTGGCTGGATGAATAATTTATTTTTCCTATTTACCGAAACATTTTTTACAACTGATATTATTGCTTTGAAATAATGATTTGAAGAAAATCATTTACTTTAGAATCGATGAGTTTATGCAAATTTTATCGAATTGAGTCTTTCAGTATTACGTTGATAGGATATTATATAAACTTATGAATTACAATGAATAAATAATATTTATAAAAGAAAACCTTATATTTGTTTATTTATTAACTGTCCACTTCGAGATATCATTTTCATTTCTCTTTTTTTCATCTCATTGTCGAATCCCCAATCTCCGAGAATCTCTTTTTATAGATAAAATGATTCACATAAACAAAAAAGTCATTGAAAAGTAAATTTAATATCGAGAATTTCAGGAAACTCGTGTAAAATCATTCCGCAAATTGTAATAAACAACGTGCGACGACGACAACGACGACGACGACGACGACGAGGCAGCTCGCGTAGTCGAAATTGCTGAAAACTTGGCCGCGCGGTGCGTAAAGCGCGTCCTTGATAAGAAAATAAGGAGCTCCGACGCAAAAGCGACAGCAGACGCGCACGCGAGCTAGATCATATTATATGTGTCACGTAATTGCGCGCACTCGTCGCATTATTTCGAAGTGAAAATTCATCAATCACGTGCGAGCTCGCTCACGACGAATAAGTAATTTTCGCTATACTTTTTTCTTGTTATTTTTTTTTTTTTTTTTCGTTAGTCACCCTCGTTCTTGCACGATGCGCGGGATGTGATTTTTCTCCGCTGCCGTGTCTTTCATTTTATCATTAATGTTATACGGTATAAGCGTGAGCTATGAATTTTCGTTTACATTTGGTTGAGTAACTGGCATAGCTCGAGCGATAAATTGTAAATACCATGTGATATCGCCATGAAAAATCCGATGTATTATATTCTAATTTTGAATCTAATCACGTGAAGCTTAGCGCCTGCCGATAGCCAAACCACCATACACAATCAAAAGCCGAGCTAATGAATAAAGTGAACGAGTAATATACAGATAAGCGTAAAAAGCTTTGAATGGACATGCGCATTTAAATGAATGAAATGCAGCTGCTTCATCGATTTCCCAATATTTTTATTATTTATGAATTAGAACCATTTCAGGCATAACTCGTTGATAAATTATACCCTTTTTCCCGCGACTGAGCGATACGGAGAGTCTCGATGCGCGTCGTTATATTTATAGGTGCGAAAAACTTTACGAAGCGGCTTCCTTCCTGCAGTCTCTCTCCAGCAAAAGCGCAGCGGCCACCCACGGGCGTTTCAACGATGATTAATGCCCAGCTGTTTGTAATAATAATTGTATTAGAAGGAGAGGTGCTGCGCGCGAAGTACAACGAGTACGCACAAAAGAGACAAAGTGTGCTACAGTACTCGCGAGAACATAATCGTGCCCGCGATCTCCTCTGTGTCTCGCGAGTAAAAAGCTCATTAGCTCGGGAAATAAAAATAACTGTCCTGCAGCCCTCCATTGCTGCAACGTGTATACGTGTATACGTACAAATCGCTTGTATATATATACACGAGCCGCGCCGGACAAAGCTTGCGTTCAGCAGCAGCAGCAGCAGTAGCAACTCGGTACAACGACCTCGCGCGCGTGTATCCATGATTGTATAGACACGCAATGCGTGTGTTTTTCGGACTCTCTCTCTCTCTCGAGAGAGAGAGAGTAAGAGATCTCGCGCGCAATTCCGTCGAAAAGTTCTCGAGCTCCGAGAAAGCCGAAGAGAATATGAGAGAGAGAGAAAAAAAAGAGTCGAGACGAAAACAAAAAAGGTGACAAGAGCGCGCGTTAAATACTGATACACATGTCGTATAGAGAAATCGGTTATAGTAGTTTATATACGAGTTGACCGCGCCGTGCATGTGATACGCGCATGTGTGTACGCATTTCGCTTGTGTGCCGCTGCTGCCGCTGCTGCACCTTTACTTATATGCTATTTTCGGCATTGGATTTCGCGCAGTATTCGTTGGGCCGAAGCCAGAAACGTTCCATACACGAGACGCGCGAGGCGAGCTTTTTCATGCGTCGGAATATAACGACCGTACGGAGCGTCGTGTATACACGCTCGTATGTATACGCGATATATAGTCGGGGCTTCTATGTTTATCAGCGCGAGATAGTATATAAGATTGGGCTATACATAAATCAGGCAAAATTCGATCGAGCTTTTTTTTCGAGGCCGCAAGCTCGACGCCGAGCGTAATCTGCGATCTGCGCGCGATAAAAGAGAGAACGAAACAATGAAATTAGGAGAAAGAAGAGAAGAAAGGAACGGGTCCGAGCAACGGTCAAAGACATCGTTGGCAGTCGATCGTGTAGCGCGGCCGTGACGACGCGCAAACTTTTCCGATCTGCGCCTCGATGAGTAAAGCGTGCGCGTAACGAGGCGAGCTTTCGCCAAAGCTCCGCTGCGCACGTTTGCTCCTTTGTTTCGATCGAGATGAAAAAAAAATGAGAGCTTGAATCTTTTTTGGCTCGAGCTCTCGCGTACTGGCGATCTCTCGTGCATCAACACACGATCGTGTATCCCCCTGTGGTGCTTTGTAACACGTGCGTGCAGTTGCAGCGTCCAAAGAAAAGAGTTTCGCCGCGCGACGAACAAGGAACGTCGATCGTTACGAAATTCATAGACACTACACGGAGTAGCTGGGGGCTAGGTCAAAACTACGCGATACCGTCCAAAAAGCTCGACTCGGCAAATTGCCCCGCTCTCGCGTGACGCGCTCGTCGTCTTCGCCGCCGCCGCCGGTGCGCGCTGATAATCGAGCTACTTTTTCGCCGACTTTATTATAATTCGAAAGCGACAATAAGATTTCGCGGAAACAAAGATGATGATGCTGGTGATGATGATGATGATGCTGATGATGCCGCGGAGATGGAGAGCGAGAGGGAGCTTTGAAAATAAAGCTCTTCCGCACATTGATGATTATGCGTGGACGTGAAACATTGGCGAACAAATCGAGCGAAACGAAAAGAAAGAGAGAGAATGAGTTTGATGCCTCTCGTATCAATGTGTCAGGCTGCGCATAATGGGATTTTCCGAATTCGATTTTATTTTCGTCATTTTTCTTCTCTCTCTCTCTCTCTCGCAATAAAAATCGCGTGCATACGATCGATCAACGATCGACTTGCGCCCAAACAGATTTTTATACACACGCATCCGAGCAAAATTAACGAGCTCTCCAGCTTTTGCGCGCATTATATATGAATTTCCGTTTTGTGATTTATATAACGATGCGCGCGCGCAATGCACCGCGCTCCGTGCAGTAGAGTACAGGAACAACAACAACGGCAAAAAAGCAAGCGCATACGTACGTATACACACGAGTACAGCTTGGATAATTTCTATCGTGTGCATAGTAGTATAGTATACCTCGTGTGTGTATGTGCGCGAAAACTTTTACTTTTCGCAGACGCACATAATGCACACACAGCTCGGCACGCGCCGCATTGCACATTACGTATTACATGTAATGTACCTGCTTCACGGAGATATAGCATGTAGCGAGCTGCAACGAGTCTCTCTCTTTAAAGTCGTTGGCGCGTAATACCTTTGCGATCGATTGGCGCGCACGAAGCCACGGAAATATTATGTATACATAAAAGACGAAACGAAGCCGATAATCGATCGCGATCGGCATCGTTATAGCTCCGAGATCGAGCGAGACCTTGATCGGTAATTCAGCTCGTCTATATTTTTCAGAAAGTCAGGCTCAATTATGAAAAACCAGCGAGAGAGCGAGAGAGAGAGAGAGAGGTAGACTCGAGTCGCGCGACAACAAAGCGTAAAAAGCACGTGGGATAATATACAAGCGTAGATTTCGCGCACACGAACGTCGGTCGGTGCACAAAGAGTACAGGATTATGCATATCGATATAGAGTCGCTGCTCCGCGAGGCGCACATTGGCATCGAGACAAAGTCAGCTGATCGCGCGCGGCCCCAACCGAGTGTGGTGGTGGTGGTAAGAAAACTCGCTCTCTACCGCCGCCGCTGCAGCGGCAGCAGCGCAAATTCGAGGCAGTCGCGCGAGAGAAAAGCTTATATAGCCGAGCGAGCCAGCCGACAGGAGTAGAGTATCGGTTTGGCTTTCGACGCGATTGAATAAGCGCGACGAGAGGCATATATTCATAGGCAAAAAAGAAAAAGTAGAAACAATAACGCATACAGCTGTCGGTCGTGCATCGTGTTATACCGTACAGCCAAAACAGAAAGTTTAAAGAAAGTTCATTATATGCGTCGATTTTAATATTATAAATAAAATAAATAAAATACGGTGCGATACACGTACACACAGTGTGATTTGACTTCGGTGCTTTCGTCGAGTTTGTTTGGTTCTTTTGTACTTTGGTGCTACTGTATCTCCAGTAATTTGACAAAATGAAGCCACCAGCGGCGGAAGAGCAGCAACAGTTGCAGCAAGTGACCCAGGAGCAAGGCGAGCGCAATGTCGCCATGGCCGTCTGCGTCCAATTGGCCGGCCGAGCCATCATCCGGGTCGTCTCGAGATGCGAGGAGGCCCAGGACAATTGCAATCTCGGTGAGTAATCGAAGCCCCATCCCTGAAGCCGCAATTCTCAAAAAAAAATCGTAGAGAAAACCAAGTTTTTTAAAAATCAAAAATTTGCGATCGGAAGCGAAACAAAGCACAATTACGAGATATCGAGTCAGCGAACCTGCGCGCGGATCGCAATAAAGTCGCGTGCAGAAGCAACGGCAGTAGTTCTTGTGTATATACACAGAGCCTCTAGTGCTGCTTACGTTATAGCACACACACGTTTGGCACGAGACTTTCGATTATAATTCACGCGAGACGAACAAGACTCGCTGCTGCTGCGCCAGACGCGAGACGCGAGCTTTTATTTGTACGCCTAGATATATGCCCACGATTCTGCGTGTGCACTCGTGTGACGCAACTTTCGTCCATCGTCGTCGTCGTCGTCGTCTCGTGCGTCCGAGCTTGCGATATACACCACACGCGTGCGAGGAGCTCGTTAACTAGCTTCGTTGCTCTTGTTTTTTCTCGCGATGCAATTTATAAATATAAACGCGGATAACTATAACTGCGAAGAGATTCACGTGCGATTCGATCGACTACGTCGAGTCGAGTTGATCATTGTCACGAAGCTCGATTGGTATCGCACCGCCAGCTATCCTATGTAATACACACGTGCTTAGCCTGCTCGAGTCACCGCGAGCGACTCGCAAACAAAAACAAAAGCTCGTACCGATCGCTCGCATAAGAGACATCGATACATAATCGTTACGATTTATATTTTTGCACATCGGCGTCGATCGATCGGTCGGTCGACTTCCGCCGGCTATATATAAAACGCGTCGACCAAAAACAACGCATCGAGTCCGGTCCTTGATACGTCGAGCGTGTACATAGCAGAGGGTACTACTAATAAAACTCTCTCTGTCTCTCTCTCTCTCTCTCATCCCGATTGCTCGAATTTTTTTCAATCGGATTGTCGAGTCGTGCCTGGCGACCGTCAACTGCATTCGCTGTATTGCGTGTGTGTGTGTGTGTGTGTGTGTGCCCTTCGAAGCCATGCCGCCGCCACCGCCACCGAGCTCCGCTGCGGAACAATCGGACGAGCTTGATTATGTGCTCGCCTCGCGTTAATCAGCTGCTGCACGCGTAATCGCCTGCAATGTCAATGGATTCGCGCGTCGAATCGAGTCGAATGACGGGAGTGACGATTTTTCTTCTCTCTATCATTGTTTATTTTATCTATCATCGCTTAATAATGAAAAAAAAAACTGTGCACCACGTGCCTCGACTCGAGACAACATACTATACGAATTGCGATGATTATTATGCTGCCGGCAATCCGTGAACGCGCGTCAACGTTTACATTGGCACACACGGGCGCGTGCGGTGCAGCAGCAGCAGCTCTTTGTCGACCGCGAATTTCGCGCGAGTTCCGTTGATTCCACGAAACGCGCAGAAATCGTTGTTGTGCACCGCGTACTCCACGCGTCATCGTGTATACCTAATTGCGCGACATTCGGATACGATTCTCGAGCCACTGCGTAATTTGCTCCTTTCTTTCTTTTGCTCGAATCTCTTTTCGTGCTTCGTATACGTTATCGAGACCCCCCCTCTATACCGAAAACAAAACATTTTTGTATATTCGCACGTGCCAGAAGTGCGTCGTCTTTGTGCGATGAAAAGTTTTTTGGACGTTTTCCCAACTCGACTTCGGCTTTTCTCTCTCTCTCTCTCTCTTTCTCTCGTCTCTTATCCTTATAGTGTACGTGCACGTTTGTGTACATTATCGCTCGCCGACATCGCCGCCACGCGAGTGCGCGCGGGCTATACACAAAAATAACTCCCGGGCCAAGCGTTAATATAAAGGATTGCAGAAAGTATACGCGCACGAGAGTCCATAGCCCTTTTGCAAGTCGATAAACAACAAAAAAATATGTCTCGGAAAAGCTCTCTTGCGCGCGGGAGCTTGTGAGAGCCGTGTTTGCCATCGTGCCGCGCGAGAATCAAAGTATACATGTGGCATAAAATCGCGTCGCGGATATTCCACGTCGTGCATACGCAATACACACGCATACGCGCAAAAAGACTCGGGAATGTTTTCATTCGGGACACGCGAAATTTTACGAGCTTAACGAACGTATATACGTGTACGTATGTGTGTGTGCAAGCATGAGCAATTATTTTATGTACACTCGCCCTGGCATCTTGGACTGGCACGCACAAAGCACCGCCGCCGCGCGTCCATGATATTATAATACTCATCGAACTGCGCAATTTCGCACGAATCTACGCTGCAGGTTCGTTATTATCACGACTCTTCGTTAGCAAATTAGTCGAGCTGTCGGATTTCGTTTGTTTAGTTACAATCGAATCGTACAAATAATTGCGTAATCGATCGATGCTCTTCGTTCGGACAACAAATCGACAACGATCGATCGAACGGTTACGTATGTGACTTTTATTTACTTTTTTGCTAAAAAATTATTCGATACGACGATATCCCGACTAGTGCGGAGACACGCGCCTAGACAACTGCAGACACGTCAACACTCGATGTCATATAGATACGAGTGCATGCAGACGGCTTTTTAAATCCAAAGACTCGCGAGAGAGAGGGACGGGGCCTCGCGCGCGCGTTGAAACAGTCGCTGCTCGTGTAGCGCGTTATAAAGTTCGAATTTATAGATATATATATCGAAAGAGCGAAGAAAATCGGAGCGATGGCAAGCGGCGTCTGTCGTATTATTTTACGCATGGAGGAGGCACAGGAGACCGAGTCGTTGGGTATGAAAATTACACACACCTTTGCTTTCTCAACCGATCCGCTCGTGGACTTTTTTTATACTTGTTCGTTGCAACGGAGGGCCTCGAATCTCTTTCTACAATTGGGCATTGTAGCTCCGCGCGTCGTCGTCGTGTGTTGCGTGTGTCGATCTCATACAGCCTGGCTATTATAGGCACAAACGTAAACGGGCTCGTCGGTACGCAAGAGAGCTGCAATATTCGCTTCGTACAATGCACGATTCACTCGGAATTTGTTCTCGCTGCTGCTGCGGATCGTTGCACTCTCTTCATCGTGTGTATCATCGTCGTTGTGTAAATCTCGCGTGGCCAGCAAAAAAAAAACAACAACGAGTATACGAGCTCGCATCGAGTGGCTCTCATATGTTCCACGCGTTACATTTTTTTCCTATAGACGCTGTGAGCCGTCTAGAGACTCTCTCGAGCTTCTCTTCTATTTATAAATCATTTCGTCTCGTGTAGCATTACGACTGAGTGCGAGAACGCGCGCGAGAGAGAGAGAGTCTCGTACACGCTATAACGCGATATAACGCAAATAAACGAAACGTTAAATTTTTTTGCTGTCCGACTCCCCCGCCGACTCGTGACTTTTCGTCATTTTGTTTCTCTCTCTCGTCTATCCGCGCAACAGCAACGATTATCCCAACTTTTACTCGGTGCATCTCTATAGCTCCGCATCGAGGCACGCGATCACGCAACGCTTCCATATACCCCGAATTTTCATATTAGTAGAAAAAGAGGCCGCGTGCGCAGTTGTATACACAGGGAAAAGCCAACAATGGATGAGAAAATCGGCTGCGGCGCGCGCACACACACGCGCGCTACACCCGGAAAACTTTTATACGCTCTGCACGCAAAAATCTCGTGCATAATATAACTCATTCACGCCCGTTTGAATGCGCGCATTTTTACGCACCGACAGCACCGCGTATACGTACGTACGTACGTACTACACGTTATATTGGAAGCGGAAGCGATTTTTAAAAGGCTCCTCGCGCGCGCGCGGAGAGAAAGCGTAAAGTGCGCGCTCGATCGGCTAGATTAATTTTTAGCCATTCGTGCTCGTATACTCGTACTCGAGCTCTTAATGTCGCGTCGTTGCATTCATTATTATTATTATCAGCGATCTTAAAAATAAATGCACAAAGAGGTACGGATTTTATTTATTATTACACGCTGCTTTTGTGTGTCCATGCAGATTTGTCAGAGTGCCAGTTGATGCAAGTACCGGACGCCGTCTACCATCTCATGAGGAACACCGAGCTCAAGAGTTGCGATCTGTCCGGCAACGTCATCACCAAGATACCGCCCAAGTTCGCCGTCAAGTTTTCCCTCATTACCGGTGAGCAGCACGGGGCAACCTGTTGTTTTTCCTATACCTATTCATCGGGACAACGAAATTCATTCCTAAATTTTTTTTTGGTCGCAGAGCTGAATCTCAGCAACAACACGATGAGCAAACTGCCCGAGGAGCTGGCCGAGCTGCAGGAGCTCGAGAAGCTCGACATATCGCACAACGCCTTCATCGCCCTGCCGACGGTCTGCCTGCGAATACCGCATCTCAAGCGCCTCGTCGCCACCAACAACGCCATCGTCGATCTCGACGTCGAGCAGCTGAGGTACGCGCCCCAGCTCGAGTATCTCGACCTCAGGTCGAATCCGCTGCCGGCCAAGCTGCACGAGCAGCTCGCGAGGCTGCAGGAGGAGCTGCCCAAGCTCAGGATCGAGCTCACGCCGAGGCAGCTCGAGGAATGGGAGGATCTCACCATCTAACCCGAGACAAAAAGACTCTCGTCTCTCCTCTCTCTCTTTGTATTTTTCGTAATAATACACCTAATGTTCATTCAACTTTTTGAATACTCAAGACTTCTCTTACCGCGCGCTAATCTATGATTTTTTTGTTGATTTTTTTCGTCATTTACTTTTTAAATGTACAGAAACGCGTTATATTTCTTACCAAAACTATTAATTATTTATTTTGTATTTATTTGTAATGACTCGCCGACTGCTTCGTCGATCGAGACACTTTCGACGATCTTCGGCGTGCGTGTCGAGTCAGGACGAGATTATGTTTTAATTTATGTAACGTATAGCTGTGTGCTAAACATGTTGTACATAATTAATAATTATACACGTAGGAAAAGACGAGAGAGAATAAGCGGCATTTTAGTTCGTCCTTTAAAAGGACGCGTCACATTTACAAATAGGCAGAGATTCGGAACGCGCGAAGATGTTAAAAAAATCTCCAAAGTACTTAAGCGATATTTAAGTACCGTACAGTTAATGCCAAATTTTCGAAACAAACGAGCAATAAAAGAGAAACAATCAAACGCTGTGATCGTTACGTACCTCCAAAAAATTATTTTTGCGGATAACACTGTTGTTACGACCTAAATATAATTAATTAATTGTAAATATATTGTCTAGTGATCGCGATGGTGCGTGTGCATCGTTTCGTGGGATGGTGGAATTTTCGTCGAGTGAAAAATCGTGTACATCCGGCCGTTGAGATTATACAAGAAGTTATAATCCAGATGACAATAATTTAAACGTCGTTTATATAATTGTATACATAGTTATGGGTGTGATTTTATAAACTAATATTTTAATAAACTTTTTATCGAAACTGTTGAACGATACAGTTCATCGGTTGCAGTAAATGCTAACTTTGTATTTATAATAACGTTAATGTTAACTACTATTGTATTTAAACAAAAAAAATGATATTGTCTTCAACTCACATGTACAATTTTTCAACAGTAAAATAGAAAATGATGATCGAATGTTAATACGACTGAACATGAAAAAGTTTAATGGATTTGACTAAAATCACGCACACAAACCGTTTTGTATTCATATGATACTGTATTTCTCCATCTAGTCAAGTGTCCAACTGGACCTGCAATAAATACTGTGAGAACACAATGCAATGTCTTGAATTTATTAACCTTCTGGGTATAAATAATAACAAAAAAGTATTTATTAATTCGATTGCGATGAATGTTCGCAATCATTTATTTATACACAATGAAATGAATATTCATAAAAGCTTTGTACAGTTGTTTAAAATGATAAGATAATAGACAGTACAAGGATGAAAAATTAAAGCCAACGTTTTTATCGAATGACAGCCTTTTCGAAAGCAACTGGGATTTCAGGTTTAAGTTCATTCATCAACAAAATTAAACGATCGACGAGTTGCGGTACGATACAGTAGGTCACAAGAAGCGGAGTATGTTCAGTTTTCTTTTTTTCTTTTTTTTTCATATATGTATAACTTTAGAATCGTTTCTAAAAGGTAAACTTACAAATAGGTGAATAGTTAGGGAAGAACAATAAAGTTCATCGAGATGCTACGAGCATGAATATCAAAATTCACACGGATTTCTCGGAGTAAATAAGAATTTATAATTGGCTTTTAGTACCTATATAATTTTTCTTCATTTCAATCATTAATATATAATTGTATGTATTCATATGTTAATAATTAAAATTATATGATTCGCCGTGTAAGAGTTAAATTTATCTACATTGTTTTTGTCTTAATGTTTAATCACTGTATAGTGTTAATGTATAGAGTAAAAAAATCACAAAATATACAAAGAAACGACACATTGCTTTAGAAACATGTCGAATTCATATATATCGGCCGTTATTACAACCTCAGTTATCATTTTTGTTTACGGCCAATTTTATTATTATATACTTTCGCGCTTGATCAATAGTTTTTATTATAATATATAATTAGTAAATAACATCGTATCGCCGTGGCCAGTTACACGAAAAAATTAACACCACTTTTCTAATCAAACGATTTGCACCCTTTTCTCAAGATTTTGTTTATCGTTGAATTACAAAAAGTCTTAAAATATATCATGTTAATATTCTTCGTTTCAAATTTGAAGGGTGCTATTATCGCTGCTGTAACACAGCAAGCAATAATGGCTGTTGAATATTTTTTTCACGTAAAATAGAACGCATCTGAGAAACAAACGAAACAAGTAAAAATGCCTCTATAATCGTTCAAAAACACATTTCATTCTAATTAAACGCTACTTCTAGTGCTCATTTGCTTAATTGAAAGCTACATTTTAACGATATAATCAATAACATATTTAATATATATACATTATACACGTACATGTACATTTATGAAGTTACACATGTTTGCAATTGAATTGAATGCACAATCGGATCTACGATGCATGAACACCTATTCTCACGAAATTACGAGTTGTCTCATTTAGAATTAAATAAAAACAACTCTGCAACTGTGCGACAGTTGCAGTTTTCTCTTGCATTTAATATACAGCTTACATAAAGAAAGTCTACAATTAAATATTTCTAATACAAATTAAACTCAATTATTATAATTTTGAATAACACTACTAACTTATACAGTGCATAACCACATTAAGCTCGCTTTCTTTAAAAAAAAATACGTATCGAAGTTGCATGTAATTATTAAAACTACGATACAATGGCAAAAACAAATTTCTCAATGCTTTACATTTAATGGACGAAAATTAATATAATATCAGTATTTTCTAAAGCTACTAGTTTCTTTTTCGGACAACAGTAAATTAAAACTTCTTTTTTATCAATAATATAACATTGAAATTGTAATCTCAAAGTTCTCATTTGAAATTCGACAGTTTGAATGCTAAATTACTTTTTCTGATGCTGTTATTAAAAAGACTATTTCCCAGCAAATCAGAATCGCGATTTTTAAAGCTATGCTACGCTATCTGTCATACCCTTAAAAAATCTAGTAAATAAGTTTTTCGACACTCATCTGCTTTGACTAGCATTGCCCAATGCTTTAAGAAAATCGTGCCTCTAACAATATTTACGTAATACTACTACCTTTGCGTTAATCGTGTAAAAAAATATAACAAAAAAATATAATTGTATTCCATCTATAAGAGAAAACTCGTAATCTGTGTTCTGTTCCGATTCTGGCACTTTTTCGCAAGTATATATCTTCTACTCTTTTCCCGTTTTCACTATATTTTTATCTGTCTCGATGACAACACATGTTATTTATTTACACTTAACAGTACGTTATCTATTTTTTATCGTCAAAATTCATAATCAGAACCATCTTAAATGTGTTACATTTTGTTTTTCTAAGCGATATATTTGAGCGATAATTTCTATATGTCATTGGATAGTGCCGAAAGAGTGAATTTTCGCAGAGCGCTACAAGAAAAATATCAATGCTTCGATTTGAATTACTACTTTACCGATGATAACGACTCTTCCGGCACAATTCATCGGCTCGTAAAAGTGTACACGTGAAATGCTTTCACAACGATATAGTAATTTCATGTTACATTTATTGTATATATGTATATCACACTCACACTCGAAAGATTACACGGACCTGTTAATCAAACAGATTTACTTTCGCAATCAAAAATCACTCATTTTTTCATTATCGCGCACGACGCTGCGTCTAATAATTACCATAAGTCCGAGTATCTTCGCACATTTAGATTGACCACTCTATGGCTGGGTGAGCGTTGGTTCATGTCTAATGACTACTGCACATACGTAAGAAGAAAAATATTTCATAAATTGCACGAAACTATTTCGCGTCTCTTCGGTTTTCGTTCATTTTTTTTCGTTCGAGCTACATCTACAAGATCACATTGAATGGATGTCATTTTGTTTTCGTCGTTGTCGGGCATCGATTTATCATCATTATAAATCACTTGCGCCCAATTCGTTTGATAAAACGTTATGAGCTGGCTTCATAAAAGCACTGAACCGTCGATATCTAGCAGCTTCTTTCTTGTAGGTAATCTCACAAGTACATCTTTTTCGCGAATATTCAATCGTTTTTTTTTTCAACAAGCCATTTACTCTGTTTCGCTCGATATTATTGGCTCGTACTCATACTCGGACTATGTATTATACAGGTGGCATTCTATATAAGACGTCGGCACGAAACCTTCGATCGGTTGAGAGATGCGGCGTACTCTGGTCCATCCGTCGCCTTGGTCCAGTTCGATCATGTATAGCTCCTCGCCGTCGTACATTGGTATGGATCCTTCGCTCGTGGCTAAAGAAAATAAAATTACAAATTAGATGATAGAGCGTGCATGAAGAGATAGGAAACAATTTTGGGCGCGTGACCAGATGCTCACCATCGAAGGGATATAAAGCTTTACAAGTTCCCAGGGGAGGTTGGGCGTCGACTTCGTCAACGTAGTATTCTTCGCCACCGCTACCGGGCAGGGACGTCCTTGAGGTGCCAAGTCCAGACTCCGGGCTATTCGTGGAACTGTGCATGAGTATGGGGTAAAAACAAAATAATCGATACAAAATAATGCCTAATCTCAGTAGTGTATGGCTTTCCTTATTTTGTAGGCAAACTTTTGTTTCCTTGGTGGGTTTTTTTGTCACCGTTTTTGTTTTACTGTTTTCTTTGTTTATTTGTTTATTTTCCCTAAATCTCATTATAATCGAAAGTAAAAAATTTGGAAAAAAAATTCAAATAATATTTCAACACATGTCACATAGATATAAATATAATGACAAACAAACAACTGAAGGAAACTCAAGATTGAAAGAAAATAATCATTCGAAACGAAAAGAGCGTCGCGGTCGAGTCTTACCCATGGGTCGGCTGTGGCGTGCTCGGGGCACTCTTTTTGTTCGCTTGATTGGCAGTGGCATTGCTCACGCTCGAGTCCGATGCGGATCTCGACAAGCTTTCCTCGCCTCCAGAATGACTCGATCTTCTGGAACTCAGCGGCCGCGTCGCCGAGCCGTTTGTCGTTGGTTTCCTCTGCAGTTGGCTTGGACTGTCGAATCAAAAAAAAAACAGTTTCCTATTTAGAAAACTCCGATCACGTCGCGCACGTTATGGAGCGCTATGAAAGCGAAGACAGACAGAGAGAGATCTTTAATTCACCTGGATAAGTTGACGCCGGCTTTGATGGCCTCGTCGAGATAGCCCTGGTACTTGGCCAGGTCGGCGGCGAGCTTTTCGAGCTTGTTGGTCGACTGAGTGAGCTGACTCTCGATCGTCAGCGGATCGCCCAGCGCCGGATTCTGCTCGTACACGCCCTTCATCTTCGTCAGGCCGTCGTGGGCCGCCGACTCTTGCTGAATTTTCGCCTGGATCTCGTCGATTCGTTGCTGCAGGCGCTTCTTGCGCTGATTCGGCGGCAGGTCGCTGTAGTCCTCCTTTTGGCCGTCGCCGTAGCCGGGCACGTTGTTCTATAAAACATTCAAGACGATACGTCAGTCTCGGGAATCGTTACACGGAATTCTTTGGCAACACAATTCACTTTTTTAGTTGATAATCGTAAAAAATTATAACACCGGATAAAACGTTTTATAGAAGCATCGAAGCAATAAAAGGCATGACTTTAGTAAAACCATAAAGCTCAAAGTTTTATGAGTTATATATTAAAATAATGTACAAGCTGAAGTAAAATTTCGAATTTCAAGTTATATGCTTGCTTTTCAGGTAAAATTCAATCGTTATAAGGGGGGTTATAATACAATTGGGTGAAAAAATGATCTCATTATTCGTGATGGGTGATTTCTATTTTTTTTTACACAATGACAATGTGACATCGCCAAATCTTTGGTGGATTTACCGTATTTTTTCACTCAATCGTCATTCAAAGCGCAACAAAACAAAATCAAAGCAGAGACGCGGAGGGGTCCCCGTTAGAGATTTCTTTTTATGGACATTTTCGAAAAATAAAACAAAAGTACAGAAAAGAAAAGAAAAATCGAAAACCAAAACAATGCATATTTTAAAGAGAAACAGACCTTCAAAGCTATGCACACCTCGATCAACTTCTGTCGTTTGCATGAAACAAATCACAAAAGCGTGTCATTCAACGAATGAATAATTTTCTTTCTATAATTTTATATATTGAATTCTCTTATAATAGTATTATTGAAACAACGTAGAAAGTGAAAAAACTTTTTATCGTAATTAATTATTGTATTCTTCGGTTAATTTAATCTTGAACAGGCCTGACAAAGTTAAGATAAAAAAAAAATAAAGAATAATACGAACAAACGTAAGAACGTAGATGCGATGAGTATCGCTTCATAATAAGTTTGGCTCATGATCTTAATTATAGATTCGTAATCAACATATTAATTAATAAAGTGAAATATTTATAAATGATAATTGTAAGATAAAGAATAGTTGAACACACAGGTTTGCGAAACCTATAATATAACATGCCAGAATAATAGAGAGGAAGGAGAAGAGAGATAGAGAGAGAAACATTAGTTGACATATCAAGTACAATGAGAGAATAAAATTTTTCACTCAGCAGATTTGCAGGCATGTCGTTTTTTTGTATTATTGATACTTACAAGGATTGGATTGCGAAATCCAAATTCACGCCAAGTGGTTGATTGCAACGACCACGAGTGTAGGAGAGAGAGGACAGACAGACCGAGTCAAATCAAATTAAGAGTAATACATTATAAGTATGGTTATCAAAAGTAGTATCTCTAATGTGTATGTAACAGTGAGAGAAACAGAGAGAGAGAGAGAGAGATATGAAGTAATATTACGTAATACGATGTAAAATAAGACTCTCGCCAGACGAGGCGCTATATTTTTTCAATTTTACCAGCAACAATGTAATACGATACAGCTAACTGATTGATCAATGTAAATTTTTCAATAAATTAGATTTTACAAAAACCAGTGCGTTCACTATTATAGTCGCTACATAGTATACAAAAGAGGCAATCTACATGATATACGTTGCATCGAAAAATGAGCTACAGTGCGTTTACTTTCACCTTGGCGTAAAATAAATCGGTTAAAAATCCAACAACCCAATAATGAAATTAAAAAAAAAAAAAAAAGACAATGATTCCATAATGAAAATATGTGCAACGTGCATCGATGATTAGTGCGAAATGGTACGGGACTCGAAACGATGATGTATCAATTACAGTAAATTATAAACCAAGAATAAAGCAAAAGGTAATACAACAAAAAAAAAAAAAAGAAGGGAATGTGATATATTATATACATTATCGACTATATATACAGGCGGGTTCGGAAACTGATACACATTATATTTTATATGCGTGCGCGCACGGACGCACGAAGTCATTTCTCAATGTGCTACTGCTACTTGGATATAATTAAAAAAAAAACAAAAACAAAAATAGTCTCGCGCAATATCGCGTGCAGAATGCACGTAACGATCTCTTTATATGATACGTTGTGCGGATGTCTAATTTAGTTTAGAGTGTGTGGTATAACATCGATGTCTACCAAAAAAAAAAAAAAATATGTTACGTTGGTGACACGTTCGTTTACATTATATGTGTCCCCCATCGTCGACGTACCTTGTTACTGCTGAAAATATTAAAAATGCCGACGCGCTTCTTCATTTTACCGCCGGACATGGTGCCCTTGACCGTGAGGTGATTGTGTATCGGCTGCATGACCGGCTGGCTGAGCTTGCTGTTGCCGTCGATCTGCATCTTGGCCGCCGAGAGATCCTCGAAGGGAAAGTCGCCGGGCGGCTGGAAGCCGCTCTTGTAGCGCTCGATGACGAGCAGCGTGTCCTCCTTCTCGTTGATCTCGTTGGCGGCCTTCTCGATGCCGTCGAGGCACTGGGCGATGATGGGCGCCACGGCGCGCTCGATCTCCACCGATTTCAGCATGTAGTTGCGCATGTTCTTGATTCGCTTCTCGTCGAGCTCCTGCAGATTCGCGAACACCTCGGGCATCGACGAGTTGTAGTGCATGTTCTGCATGTCGTTGGTCGTCTGCAGCTGCTTCGCGTACTCCGTTTTCGCCTCCTCGCTCTGCTGCGTCTTTAGATTCATGTTCATGCGCTGCTTTTCCACCTGTTACGCGACAATCATTAGTACCTATACATCGAACGACGAGATAAAATATCGAGATCACAAGTATACCTCAGCGCGCGACAAGTCTAAATCGGCATCGGCCTTCTGGTAGTTCTCGGAGGCCCGTTCCGACTCGCGGAAAGCCTTCTCGTAGGCCTTGCGCGCCCTCTCGAGGGTGCCGATCTGGCTGGCCAGGGAGGTGCGCAGCCTCACGCCCTCCTGCAGGTACTTCTTGCGGTCGTCCTTGAACTCCTTGACGAGCAGTCCGAGCTCTCGCAGAACGTTGGCCTGCAGGTTCTCGGCGATGACCTCGCGCTGGCCCGCCTGGTCGTTCACCTCGTTCAGCTCCTTACGGAAGGCTTTGCACGGACTGTATCTGCGTGAGCGAATAAAAAAAAATAACGTTAATAAAAATGTACGTTATATATAAAGAGCAGGGCTGTGTAAAGGTCCGTATGAGTGCGACACGACGACGTGCGTATGTGTGTGTGTGCACAAAGTATATGTATGCACGCGTGAAAGTGGAACGCGGATCGCTGCTACTGCCACCGTTGCCGCCGCTGCCGAGCGATGAGAAAAATCACGTGGGAATATGCAAACTTTCTCTGGTAAAACATACATTTTTATGCTCCCGATCGAGCGCGGCTGATATTTGCGACACATGCACAACTGCTGCTGCTGCTGCTGCTGCGCGGCAATCGCGACTGATAAACGTTTCCGATTGTACACGTGTAATTTTAAACGATACACAGGCGCGAGGTCGAAATCGAGTGCAAAGCCCCCGAAATCGATCGATCGAGAAACAGAAGAAGAGATTATCGCTTACGCAAACCTCTCGATCGATTGCATTGTGTGCAAAAATTATAAAAAATAAATTAAATAAATAAAACGCGGATCCCGCGGCTGTGCGTTTTTTTTCCACCCAACATGCGGAGATTTTCATCGGAATAGAAAGTTTTTTATTCGCGTTGCATATTTACTACACACACATACACACATAGAGCTCGTTACTAATGCGCGCGCGAGGTTCTCTTTTTTCTATGTAAATATCACATAACGATCTTGGCGTATATAGCTAACAGGTGAGCTAGAGAGAGAGAGAGGTAGAAAAAAAACCGAGTACGAACGAGTTGCAGCTACGTAAATATAGAGAGAAAAGCAGGGCAGTGTCGTCTGCGACGATGTCTTCTCGCATTCGTCGTCGTCGTCGACGTCGTCGGTGGCATAGCAAGTATATATATATGAAAACTAGCTCACGCGTGTATATAGCCGGGTCGTAACACTTATTTCGCGGCGGCGGCGGCGGAGACGCGGCCAAAGGGAAAGGAGAGAGAGAGAGAGATAGAGAAAAAGAGAGGAATACACACTCGCGCACACACACAGATAGACATGAAACTAGAGCAGTGTATCGTTGGAAAACAATGATTCGCGTTCGTGTATATATCGTGTGAGAATCAGAACTGTTGGTATATTATCAGAGCTGTGTGTATTGTACAGTATATATAATACGCGTCGCGCACCCGGTAATAATCTAATTAAAATATCGATGGACTGCGGAAAGAGAAAAGGGTTTCGATGTACACGTCGAGCGTCGCGTCGCGCGCTCTTGTTTCGGAAAGCTGTCGTAATAGTTTTTTTTTCTGGGTCAATGGACTCGTCGTACTTGTCGTCGTCATTGCGTTGTCGTCGTCGACCGGTAATTTAGATAAAGTACTTACTGGTAGTCTTCTTCATCCTTTTTCTTCGGCTGGTAGCGTTTGACCAGATTTCTGAAACAAATAATAATGGAACGTTAGTGCATTAGTACATTTATTCTCCGATACTTTTTAATGCGTATGCAAAACTTAAATGCACATAGTGTGTGGTTTTTTTTTTCTATGCGCGCGTGAAATTTACATTTATTGCGTCTCACGCTGGTCAGGTGAGTGCAGAAACGCGCGTGTAACTTGGCCACACTAAAAGCGCTCTTGAATCGACTTTAGTGCGCATCCATTCGGCGTATGCTACAATCGACGCAAAAAAAAAAGAACCGAGCGACATTTTAATTAAATGACATTGCTACATTTTTCCGCAGAAACGGGGGAGAAAAAATAAATTTCATCTCGGATCAGTCGGCCAAGGTTCTCTCAGCTCCGCGAGTCGAGGCTCGCGTTTTGCAATTTTATGTATATCGCGCGCGCGTTATGAATGCACTGCAAACACACGTTATAAGACGTGCTCGCAGTTGCGCATTATAAGCTTCGCGCACACGCATGCCGCGGCCATCATCGCGACTCTCTCGAGTTTAAAAAATATAAAAAGAAGAAGTAAGAAGAAGAGTTTCTAACGAATGAACGCGCGCCCGACATCATCTCTCTCTCGCGCGCGCGCGTAATGCAATGTACGAATCATTAATTTAAGCTGCCGCGATAAAGGCAAAAATTTCTTCTTCTTCTTCTCTCTCAATCGGCATGTATTCAATAACGCGCGACACGCGCGTGCACCGCTGCTACGTAGCTCGGCGGATCGACGCGCTGTATATGTATAATATAACGCGAAGGAGAGAAAACTCTCCTCGCGAAAGTTTGTGTATAAAATGTGTCTATTTGCGTGCACGCGTTGCATATATAATATGCGTATATATAAAATCGACGTCTCTACTACATGGCACGCGCATCAGCGAAAATAGTGAAATTTATATGTGTATAAAGTGAGAGAGAGAGAAAAAGAAGTTTCGGTAGCAAATTGGCAAGAAAACTGCGTGTATGTATGAGCTATGAAAAGCATTCGAGAGACGCGTTTATGTGGGACGACGAATTTTCCGAGCTCTCTCTCTCTCTCTATCTCTATCTCCATGTGCATCGCTCGAACGAACTACACTAGTCGAGACTCGAGGATATTACCTACATGTTCGAGCGATAGATTTTAATTGAGGATTCCAACGCACGACTACGTATATATATGCTACTCTTCTCGTTCGTTGTAATAAGGCGTTGGAGTATAATAATGTATTGTGCGTATACACGCCTGCTTGCCAAGTCTGTGTGTATTGGTAATAACGAGGCTTGCATGTGTGTGTTTGTGTATACGTGCGTAGCGCGAGTCTGTTGTTGCTCATCATTTGTGAAAGACGATGTGAGAATCACCGATCCACGCCCGATGAACTGTGCGCTAGCATTGCGAAAAAAAAAACGAAGTGGAAGTCGATTTATCGGAAATTTGCATGATGCGCTCGCGGGACGCACACAAGTTATTCGCGGGAAAAAAAACGCTAACGCATCGCACGGCCATAATATATCCACCTCTTCTTCTTTTTTTTGTAATAACTCTTGACTCGCGCGTTGTTTTTCGTCGAAGAAGAAACCCGCGTTAAAAGCTAAGCTGCGGCGGTGGCGCGAGGAGGCCGGAAACTGCGTCTTATCGCTCCGGCTATGGAGCCATTGCCAGTGGAAATTGCGCAGAGAGTCGAAAGAGGAAGAGAGACGAGGCAACAACGCAATTTTGTGCATATATGCACACATGTATAGGCTGCGATACATGGTACACAGAAGACGCTACTATTGAGAAAAGAGACAAGTACACAAGGCGCCCTTTTGACATTTTACATGTGTGCAGATTTCACACAGCTCGTACGCTATATATGTTGTGTGTAGCAGTGACACTCGACTGCAAAGAGCAGCAGCTCGAGTATTATGTATAAGCCGAGTCGTCTTGAACTCGCCTTCGCGCAAAGTATGAGAAAGAAAGAGAGAGAGAGAGAAAAGTTGTCAACGTCTCGCTTTGTGTCTGTGTCTCTCGCGCGTATATAGCACAGCATATTGTAAAAAGCCGCGTGCGCAGATTTCGATTTCCCAGGCGCAGCCGCGTGAGACACGATAATTTAGAGATACCGATCTCGACGTTCGCAATATTACTCGAAGCAACCCGAAATACGTTGTGTTAATTATTCGTGTTTCTATTATAATGTCGATGCGAATTAGAGAGGAACGAGATCGGGCATCATGAGGCCTAAATAAAGCGCGCGACAGGTCGGACGATCATTTGCGTCGCGAACCTATAGTCGTATTATAAATATACGACGCACCGATAATATCAAGATCGAATAGCGGCGTGTCCCGCGATGATCGGCAATAATCATGCTAATACACACAACAACAACAACAACATCATAGATGTCGGCTGCTCGCGAAGGGGCCCCCCTTTGCACGCAGTAGCCCCTCTGGGGAGCTAACGGGAATCGGATATAGTCTCGCGTACTTACATATGCATGTGGTACGCGCGTAAAGACGTATTATTGACCTTGGCGAGAGTTGCGCGCGTATAGTGAGTAATCTCGTATTAGCTGCACCGCACACACACACACACACGCACGCATGTGTGTACAATATATATGTGTGGGCTGATGCAGCTGGTATATTGGGGTGCACCGCGCGCACCTCAAAACGTGCTTGCGAGCTCTCTCTCTCGCTCTCTCGCGGTCAACGGGATTTTGCGGTGCGCACGTGGTGCAGCATACACACACATATACATTGCGCACAAGAAAGTTGCAGCGCTTTTTTTTCTGGCTCCTGCGTTTTTTTTTCCGTTTTGGTTTACTTCCTATGCGTTTATATAGTTCTAGAGGAGAAGTCTTTAATTACAACGATTAGTCATTTAGACTTTTTCCATGTTCGCGAGCCAGTGCGAATGAATAATTCAAGCGGCCGCTGCTGCAGTCATCCTTTCAGAGTGTTTATTTTGCTTCTCTCGCTCGCTCGCTTCGACTCGCTCCGCAGGCTCTCGTATGCCATACATATTAATATACAAATTTATTTATTTGTTTTTTTTTCATTTTCCAATGCGACGAGTGGTACGGTCATACGCCATTATAAACCATTTAATATGTAGGAAATACAAGCGTACCGTACATTAGCCTAATGTGCCTGCATAAATTTATTTTCCGCGGGTAGATGGAGATAGAGAGAGAGACATGTGCTTGTGGCATACATTTATTCGAGACGCGCAGAAGAAGCTGAAAAAAAAAATAGAATAATAAAATCGTGCTCACCTGAGTTTCGTTGCGTACTCCTCCTCGATGGCGCAGCGATCCCGTATAAAGTGTCCATATCTCTCGAGAAAATCTATCCCCTTCTGCGTGTGGACGGATAGATTGTCGAACTGATCCTGCAACACAGATAAACGAGAGATCGGTCAGTGTGGTCGAGTATAAAGATAGCGGGAGAAGCAAAAAGTAAATAAAATAGTTAGCCGCGAGATCTCTCCATCGGGTTGTGTTTTGTCTTCCGATATGGACATAATGGGACAGAGACTACGTCAAAATGTGTTTATAAAACGAAAGGGAAACACGCGTGTAAATACGTGTACGATGGGCAATTAATACATCGAGATCGCGCGGGGATCGATCCCGCGACTTTCGACCTGAAAAAAAGTCGTCGTGCGCGTCCTTAACCCACACACAAACACACACACACACACAATTACAGACACAAGTAGACAGCAACTCGTGTCTTTGATCTTCTATAACCGGATCGTTCCTAATACGGTGCAGCGCGACGAGTGCTGCTGCTGCATGCGACATAATCCAAACGCGCGTTTGTCGCGCGCACACACACGAGCAAGAAGAAAGTAGGCGTTTGCCTTTACGTATACGTACGTATACTGTATATTCGCGAATATACAACAGACACAATTGTGCAATTCTGCTCTTTCTCGCGTTCCGTTCGTTGCTGGTGTGCGTGTTTTGACGTCGATGAAATAACCAGCGGCAGCTCATTATTCAATAATATAATATAAAAGCGGGGCCGGTAGTATATCGCTGATTAGGCGTGTACGTATCGTGCATTATTATATCCGTGCACCGCAGACAGACAGACCAAGAGAGAGAGAGAGAGAGAGAGAGAGAGAAAAAGAGAGGGAGATCGGGAGCTCGTAAAATGTTTTCTATTAATTAGTTCGTTTGAACGATAAACGATAACGACGCGCGCAGTGAGCTGCTGCTGCTGCTGCCTCGCGATGCCTTTAATTATAATGTTTCGCGCGCACGCACGCAACACACGCCCGAGCAGCGACCGGATTTCATGTGTACATACGTACGATACGTGTATGATTTATAAACAGGGTCGAAAAATGCGAAAAAAATAAAAGCATCTCTGTATATATATCTCGCTCGTGTGTATGCCATAAGTGTAGCAGGGCACGAAATCGTATTTATACCGGTATCAATTTTATATGTATTAGAGGAAAAATGGCTACTGTCAAAACAGATAACGATAAATCTTTCCCCCCTCTCTCTCTGTCTCTCTATCATTCTCTCTCTCGCAGTTATGGCAGTTACCTATATAGCGCGTGTGCATTCGCCTCGTGAAAGTTTCGCTAATCTCAAAAGTCGATTGGCACGCTCGCGGCCAACTTGTCAGTCCGCATATATATATGTGTATACACACATTCACGCGCGCATTTTTCCGATTAAACGACGTGCATTTTCAGATCTCGTTTCTTTTTTTTTCTCTTCTTATGACTTCTTATCCGTCGACGATAATTGACGGGCGATACGCGACGAGGCCGAGACAATGAGCGAAGATGCCTTAATTTCCGTTTCCCGAGCTCGCTCATATATACCTCGTGTGCCACACGCGGTGCAATCATCGTACTCCACGATCCATTAAAAAAAAAAAAAAGAAAGAAAAAAGTCGCGCCAGTGATTTCGGAGCTGCACGCGCAAAAGAAAGCGTAACAGCGCAGCGGCAGCGCCCCGAAGGTAATAGGCCTGCGAAGGAGTTTTGAAGCCTTCGTCTATTCCTGTATATACTCTAAGGTACACACACACACGCGCGCAGACACAAATTTGTACGTATACATGTGAGCGCAATAACGTAAGTGTAATTATAATGGCATGCCCTGCTGCTGCTAAACGCGAGCTATATAGTTATGTGCACTGCTACGTATAGTAGTAAATATCAGCTGTAAAGTGCCCGCGTGCGCTGCAAGTATAGTATATAGACGCGGCCCGCGCAGCCGAGAATATAGCCGACTGATATTTTATATATATAATAACAATTCGTATCGAGTTTTATCGGGCGTTTGAGAGGATAATTGAATTTTTCGTACCGTACAAATCGTTCCTCGAAAAATTAGCGTCATACACGTTGAAAAAACGTATAAAGCCGGAGCTTTTACGCGCTCGTAATTTCCACATAAACGTCGATGTTTATAATATAATACGCGACGCACGATGACGTTCACTGCGACGTAGTGTGTATCCCGACATCTCGTTATCGGTTTTTAATTAAAGTAATATACGTTGGAAAAATAGTTCAATGGCTAATGTGGCTTCTTATACGTGTATAATAGACACGGCTCAATTAATGGTAAACACATTTCGAACTATGAATTGCAGCAGCAGAAGAGCCGCGATAACTCGATTGAACGTAAATTGCGCATCTAAGCGTATTATACGTACTCGAATATATGCGCAACACATCCGCATCGCACATATATAATTACAAATACCTCGGCTCGTACATGGCATATCGCCCCGCGTGCGCTTGTGTACACACACACACACACGGCGTAAGTTTATGGATGCTACGTCGTACGTGATACGCGGCGATGCTGCAGCGCGCGGCTATTATTATACAGGCTCTCGAAAAGTACGAGATGAAAATCCACGAGCAGAGAGAGAGAGAGAGAAAGGGAGAGAAGGAAAAGGTATGCATAACTCGGATCAGCTGTGCAAGACATTGTATACACAATGCGGGTCGTTTCGCAAGGATCGTCTTTTTTTCGCACTCGCCGCTCTTCTCTTTTTTAGCGCCGAGGCTCGAAAAGTGAAACTGGCCTGCGATGCAGTGAGGAGCCTACGTAGTGTGCATACACGTACATTATTGGCGCGCCAAGACTGCACGAGGTTCCTTTGCACGTGGTTTGTTCGCACTTGAATTTTCTGGGAAATGATTTTCAGTCATTTTATGTCGTTTTTAAATTCGTGCAAACTTAAAAAAGCTCGGGAGCGAGATTCCATGCAACTTGGAGTATAAAGGACATCTTAATATAAATATATTTGCCAGAAATAAAGAGAGAGAAAGGTAAAGATTTATAGTAAGGACAAGATAGATGTGTGTTGTGTCTAAAAAGACGTATCTCCACTAATCGGATATCTGCGGAATTCGCTTTCAGCCTCGAGGAAATAAACTCGTCGATCGACTGTGTAGTATATAGTATATAGGTACGGCGGAGCCTCGCGTATTTTACGATGATGTAATCGTCTATTGATAACTCGATGATTCGGTGGAAATATCTTTTAGCATACAAGTATCATCGAGACCGATGCCGCTGCTTATGATTATCGTCATCTTCGCGAGCCAGAGAGGCTAGACACACGCCGCAAGAGCCTATACGTATCGCGATCTCGAGAGCTTTCGGACGAATTACGTGTGCGTGGGTGTGCGCGTAACTCGATCTCCGAGTTTTACTTCCGCGCCAAACGAGACCGTACACCGATGAGTATATCTGTCTTGTATATTATATGTGCAATGGACAAATATAGATGTGTATGTGTGTATTAAACCCATAGCAGCAAACGTCCGAGAGTACGAGCGAAAATGTCCAAGGACGATGCGGCAGCGGAGCTCCGTACGTATATATATATACGAGAAACCTTTTACCACTTGCGCTGCTTTTGTGTACGCTCACGTAGTGTACGCTTATTACAATCGCGCGCGCGCAACCGAGTTGGATATTGCATATACAGCACACGTTTTATATGCGCGAGTGCAATTGTCATTGAGCGTAAAACCGTGAGAGGCCGTAAGAGAAATAATCTGCTGCATCGGGAGTAAATAATATCGAGTCGAGAGTGCAGGACTCGATGTTAAAAGTAATAATCTACCTGTGTAGTGTCTTTACAGGCTACGAATTTTTTCGTTCGACTGTCATCGTAATTCTTCATATATATTCTGGCACGAGCTAAACTTCAACAACGAAACAAGTGCGAGTTATCGGTCCCGAAAGTTAGTCGCTCGCATATGTGCCCCGGTCGTGAAGTTATGTAGGGTGAAACAGCGTGCGCAGAGAAGACGACTGGAAGAAGCTCGTAGCCGATCTAATGTTGTATAATAAGAAAATACGAGTCGAAGAGAGAAAGAACCACATAGAGAGCAGGGGGAAAAAAGCTGATGTATCCCACATCTGGTCTGTACCTATATATACACAATAGCTCCTTATACCGTGTGTGTATATAGTACTGCATTTATAATACAAGAGGGAGAAACGGAGAAGAGAGTCCGAGACGAAACAGACGCCGGGTATAATAGAATACTAGAGCCGCGCGCGCGGATACAGCTCTGCGAGCGAGCGAGCGAGCGAGAGAGAAGAGGCTTTTTGCACTGGAAAAGCTCTCCCGTATATAATTTCTGCTCTGATTACACGTTTACTTTGGCTCTCGTTTCGAGAGAATCTTTCAAATCCGATTACAATTATTACGTTGCGCGCGTCTCTCGCTACACGGCGCGCTGCACGCGAAATGCTTCTTTTTCTCTCTCTCTCTCTCTCTTTCTCTTCCATTTCCTCCCTTCCTGAATAAAAATAGAGTAATGACAATGCAGTGGCGGCGGCTGCGAGGGTGCCTCGAAAACGCCATAATGTTTATAATTAAATAAAAGGCAAAAAATTGCGCTATACATGTATCCGTATATAAAATAATAAAGGCTAGTTTGCGCGCGGAAAGAGTGACGAATCGACGTGTTTGCGCGTGTGTGTATATGTCTGTGTGTGCGCGCGAGTTTGCGTGTTGCTGATTCACTCTCCTGTGACGATGACCTATCTCTCTCCGTCTCTCTTTTTCTCTCGCTCGTGTGTGTATATATATAGGTATTATCATTCCAACGCGGGATAAAGACACGCGCCTGCCTCGACGTTCTAGAATTAAATCATGGCACGTACATTTATACATTATCTGCTTTTATACCATTCGTCACACATACACACATACTTGCATATGTGACAAACTCTAAGCGAGACAGACAGAGCCGAGGACATTATTACGTGTACTCGAGCTAATGTACTCGGACTATATGTACACGAACTCCGCGTGATATTTTTCTTTTTAATCCTCGCTACGCAGCGCACACGTGAAATTGTGTTGTCGCGCGCGCGCCAAATTAATT